CTTAATAGGACTTCACAAAGCACATACCTTGATAAAGTTTTGAAGAAGTTCAAAATGGATCAAGCAAAGAAAGGGTTCTTGCCCGTGTTACAAGGTGTGAAGTTGAGTCAGACTCAATGCCCGACCACTGTAGAAGATAGAGAGAAAATGAAAGTCATTCCCTATGCTTCAGCCATAGGTTCTATCATGTATGCAATGCTGTGTACCTGACCTGATGTGTGCCTTGCTATTAGTTTAGCAGGGAGGTACCAAAGTAATCCAGGAGTGGATCACTGGAAAACGGTCAAGAACATCCTGAAATACCTGAAAAGGACTAAAGATATGTTTCTCGTTTATGGAGGTGACAAATAGCTCGTCGTAAACGGTTACGTCGATGCAAGCTTTAACACTGATCCAGATAACTCTAAGTCACAAACCGGATACGTATTTTTATTAAATGGTGGAGCTGTCAGTTGGTGCAGTTCCAAGCAGAGCGTCGTGGCGGGATCTACATGTGAAGCGGAGTACATAGCTGCTACAGAAGCAGCAAATGAAGGAGTCTGGATGAAGGAGTTCATATCCGATCTAGGTGTAATACCTAGTGTATCGGGTCCAGTGAAAATCTTTTGTGACAATACTGGTGCAATTGCCTTGGCAAAGGAATCCAGATTTCATAAGAGAACCAAGCACATCAAGAGACGCTTCAATTGCATCCGCGATCAAGTCAAGGAGGGAGACATAGAGATTTGCAAGATATATACGGATCCGAATGTTGCAGACCCGTTGACTAAGACTCTCTCACGAACAAAACATGATCAGCACCAAGACTCCATGGGTGTTAGAATAATTACAATGTAATCTAGATTATTGACTCTAGTGCAAGTGGGAGACTGAAGGAAATATGCCCTAGAGGCAATAATAAAGTTGTTATTTATATTTCCTTATATCATGATAAATGTTTATTATTCATGCTAGAATTGTATTAACCAGAAACTTAGTACATGTGTGAATACATAGACAAACAGAGTGTCACTAGTATGCCTCTACTTGACTAGCTCGTTGAATCAACGATGGTTATGTTTCCTGACCATAGACATGAGTTGTCATTTGATTAACAGGATCACATCATTGGAGAATGATGTGATTGACTTGACCCATCCGTTAGCTTATCACGATGATCGTTTAGTTTGTTGCTATTGCTTTCTCCATAACTTATACATGTTCCTATGACTATGGGATCATGCAACTCCCGAATACTGGAGGAACACTTAGTGTGCTATCAAACGTCACAGCGTAACTGGGTGGCTATAAAGATGCTCTACAGGTGTCTCCGATGGTGTTTGTTGAGTTGGCATAGATCGAGATTAGGATTTGTCACTCCGTATATCGGAGAGGTATCTCTAGGCCCTCTCGGTAATGCACATCACTATAAGTCTTGCAAGCAATGTGACTAATGAGTTAGTTGCGAGATGATGCATTACGGAACGAGTAAATAGACTTGCCGGTAACGAGATTGAACTAGGTATTGAGATACCGACGATCGAATCTCGAGCAAGTAACATACCGATGACAAAGGGAACAACGTATATCGTTATGCGGTTTGGCTGATAAAGATCTTCGTAGAATATGTGGGAACCAATATGAACATCTAGGTTCTGCTATTGGTTATTGACCGGAGACGTGTCTCGGTCATGTCTACATAGTTCTTGAACCCGTAGGGTCCGCACGCTTAACGTTCGGTGACGATCGGTATTATAAGTTTATGTGTTTTGATGTACCAAAGATAGTTCGGAGTCCCGGATGTGATCATGGACATGACGAGGAGTCTCAAAATGGTCGAGACATAAAGATTGATATATTGGATGACTATATTCGGACACCGGATGTGTTCCGGGGGTCACCAGATAATTATTGGAGTGCCGGGGGGTTATCGGAACCCCGAGGGAACTAATGGGCCAACATGGGCCTTGTGAGAGAGAGGAGGGGGCCTTAGGGCTGGCCGCGCGCCCCCCCTTGAGGAGTCTGAATTGGACAAGGAGGGGGCGGTGCCCCCTCTTTCCCTCCCTCTCTCCCTCTCCTTCCTTCCCCTTCCTCCTCCTAGTTGGACTAGGAAAGGGGGAGTCCTACTCCTATTAGGAGGAGGACTCCTCCCCTCCTTGGCACGCCCCAAGGGCCGGCTGGCCTCCCCCCTTGCTCCTTTATATACGGGGGCAGGGGGCACCCTAGGACACACAAGTTGATCATTGATCTCTTAGCCGTGTGCGGTGCCCTCCTCCACCATAATCCACCTCGGTCATATCGTCGTAGTGCTTAGGCGAAGCCCTGCGCCGGTAGCTTCATCGTCACCATCATCACGCCGTCGTGCTGATGAAGCTCTCATTCGACACTCAACTGGATCAAGGGATGTCACCGAGCTGAACGTGCGCTGATCGCGGAGGTGTCGTACTTTTGGTATTAGGATCGGTCGGATCGTGAAGACGTACGACTACATCAACCACGTTGTCATAACGCTTCCACTTACGGTCTATGAGGGTACATGGACAACACTCTTCCCCTCTCATTGCTATGCATCACCATGATAGATCTTGCGTGTGCGTAGGAAATTTTTCGAAATTACTGTGTTCCCCAACAACAATGACAAAACGTGAGTGGCGTAGTAGATATCCTTCAACAAAAGGGACCCACTCTCCCCTGCTTGTTTATTATTGTGGTGGATATCCTTCGGCAAATAATTATTGGAGGCAAGAGTGAGGGCCTCCTTTTCTACCCTCTTAGCCCACCTCCCCTGCCCCGTTCTGCAGTATGTAGATGACACCCCAATCTTAGTCAAAGCCACTCCAGAGGCGGCTCTCTGCACCTAAAACTTATTCTCGATAGTTTTGCAGCTGCCACTGGCCTCCAGATCAACTTCACAACAACAACTTTCGTTCCCCTAAATGTTGACCCTATCGTTGCTGCCAGTATGGCTTCGGACCTTGCCACTGATGTTTCCTCCTTCCCCCAAACCTATCTTGGACTACCCCTCTCCCCCCACAAGTTACCACCATCTGCCTTTCAACCCATTATTGACCGTTGCGATATCTACCACTCTGGTTGATGTGCTTTACTTCTCTCTCGAGGTGGAAAATTAGTCCTCCTCTCAGCCGTCCTTGACAACTTACCCACCTACTTCATGTTGTGTTTTCCCCTCCCCATCCAGGTTCTAGAAGCCATTGACAAGCGTAGACGTACTTTTATCCGGTCCAATGACAAGACTTGCTCTGGGGCAAAAATGCCTGGTCGCTTGAGACAAAGTTTATACTCCTAGAGATGCAGGTGGTTTGGGTGTAAAAAACTTAGGTGCACAAATTTTTTATCTACCGCTGAAGTTTTCTTACAAATTTTTACATGCCACCAACATCCCTTGGAAGGATTGGGTTCTCCATCACTCCACCCTCCATATTGGCCTTGGCAAGAACAACTCCTTCCTTGCCCGAACCAGTTTTAAACACCTTCAGAGTTTGAGATAGATTTTCCAGTGTACCATCGGTGATGGTCACTCCACCTTCTTTTGTTTAGATAGTTGGCTAAAGCCGGAACCACCGGCTTTAGTATTTGCCACTCTTTTTTCCCACCACACAAACCAAACACCATGGTAGCCACTATTATACAGGATGGGATCTAACTTGCTCTTCCTAATCGTCTAACCTCTATTGCATTTGCAGAGCTTGCCTCTCTCTCTCTCTCTCTCTCTCTCATGTACCGGACAATCGGCGACTGTTGAATGATTCTCCACTCGGGGAGCGCACACGGCTCTTTCTTCTCAACTCGCGGACCCCATACTTACCATGATCTGGGACTCAAGAGTTCCAAAAAAGTTATGATCTTTGGTTGGCAGTTTTTACCTTGATCGGCTGAATAGTAGGAAGAATATGTGCAAGAAGTCCATTCTTGACTTGGATGTGTGCTCTAGGTGCAGCCGCGCTATGGAGGACCGTGACCATATGATCTTCTCCTGCCCGGCGGCTCGTGGGATTTGACTTGCAACTGTATTCGACTGCGCTCCAGGCCCTTGGCGGATTTCTTCTCCACCCCGCTACCCCACGCCCTGCCAACTTCGTTTGCCCCTTCATGCTGCTCCTCATCTTGTGGAAGAGATGTGATGCTAGAAACAAGAAAGGTTTTCAGAATCCAGCTGTCGATGTACACTCCTCTATTACTGACATCTTTAATGACTTGATTATTTGATATTGCTGTCTCAAAAATGACACCGGTCTGTGGTGGGAGTTCCTCTCTTCCCGAAACTGTGGTGCTTTTGAAATATATTCAGGTGGGGAGCCTTTGCCCCCCGACGACCATTTCAAAAGAAAAAAAAAGCGCGAGTGAGCTCCTCGGCGACACGGATTCAACATGTGGACGCCCTCGGTGACGACCAATGAGGGGCATGCGGTGAAAGGAAAGGAAAAACTTTCAACCCCTCGCGAGCGAGCGCTTGATGAGGATGGGAAAGTAGGCGAAAAAAAGCCATACATTGCTATTGTTAGACATGACTATGAGATGCCATGTCTAAAATTGTACTCCTACTGGTAGGCAAGAAAAAGAAGATCGATTACTCACTAGTACTAGGAAAAAGTAATTAGTAGATAGAGCATACTATAAAAGAGAAAGGAAACGTGAAGCCTAAAACGTGGGCGAAAAATTAGTTACTCCATGCCTAACATGAGCGGACGCGTAGACCGCTACCGGAGTCGGGCAGATTTGACTGTGCGCGACACCCCTCAGGTCAGGACCTCAACCTCAACCTGAAGCGGCTGGACTGGCCGCCGACCGACAGAGCACCAACCGGTGGACTGGACACCGCGGCTTCCTCCTTTCTTCACCTCGCCGTCAAGGCCCCCGAGGTCTCCCTCTCCTCTCCTCTCCTCTCCTCTCCGTGCTACTAGTATATACTCAACTCACGCGCTCTCCTCCTCCCCCCACTTGCCTAACCCAACCTCCACCCCTACCAGCAGCCAGATCTCCCTTCCCTTGCCGCCGGAGCCATGGCGTTCGACGCCTTCACCGACAAGACCGCCGTCTTCCGCCGCCTCAAGGCCAAGCCGGAGAACAAGGTATGCCTCTTCTTCCCCTTCCTCTTCCTCCCACCCGCCTGCCTACCTACCGGTTAGCTCGGCCAGATCTGCGAGCCGCCCCGGAACAGATCTGATCCATGTGTGCTATGAATGAATGGCAGATGTGCTTCGACTGCAACGCCAAGAACCCCACCTGGGCCTCCGTCACCTACGGCATCTTCCTCTGCCTCGACTGCTCCGCCTTCCACCGCAGCCTCGGCGTACACATCACATTCGTCAGGTACCTATAACTTGCTTCCTCCAGATCCTCCTTTCTGCTATTGGATCTCATCGATATGCCGCGCCGCAATCAATTCATTCCAATGCTCGTTTCATTCACCCTGCACCACTTGATCGACCTAAAACTGATCTCTTTGATGCATTTGTGTGATCCAATCCTAGTGGCCGACATCCAGCCACCTGATATACGAATGGATTAAACCTGGGATGGGCCTTTGTGCCCTCGGCGGCACAGAGCCAAACACCGATGCCCATCTCGTTTGCCGGGAAACATGGAGTTTAGAGCGGGCTTGCTTGGTCTTGGTAGAACAACGAGGGACCTCAAACCTCTATAGTCCACAAGTGGCACATTGGGCCCCTAACATATCCATACCGTGCATTTGTAAGCCAATCAACAATGTGGAATCTGTCTGCTTTTCAGAGTAAAAGCAATGCCAAGTTTGTCGTTTGTGCGTATGTGTTACTCTTTGCATGCACCACCGCCACCTGCTGATGCATAACTCATTTTCTTATCTATGTTTTGTCAATTTGCGGTGCTAAGAGTAAACTTCGTTCTGGTGGTTACCAAGTTCCAGGATAATTGTTTTCTGCTAGTATTTGCCTTTTGGGCCTGCCACCCCTCTCTTACACAATACACAAACTGTACATTATATTTCGTATGTAGGTCAACGAACCTGGACTCATGGACTCCGGATCAGCTAAAGATGATGGCTTTTGGAGGCAACAACCGTGCACATGCTTTCTTCAAACAGCATGGTTGGACTGAGGGGAGCGGCAAAGTCGATTCAAAGTACACGTCCAGGGCTGCTGAATTGTACAGGCAGATACTGCAAAAGGAAGTTGCTAAGAGCTCCACCGTCAACGTCTTGCCATCATCCCCTGTTGCAGCGTCTCAGGCACCGAACCCGTCCGACGACTTCCCTGATTTCAAGCTTGCTGATGCACCAGAAGAGACTACCAACGGGAAGCATGAACCTGTTGTCGCCAATCCGCCAAAAGAGCCTGCCCAGGCACCAAAAGCCCCTACACACCCCACTTATGTCAGTTCTGTAAAGAAGCCCCTTGGTGCAAAGAAGCTTGGTGCCAAGACTGGAGGCCTTGGTGTAAAAAAGCTCACTACAAAGGTAATACTGCAAATCAGCTGAGTTATTCTTGTTTCTAAATTTAGATATATGCACGTCTGTGGGGCTGACGTTCTAAAAATAGCGTACTATCACTCTTGTATTTGCTGTGCGAACCATTGACTGACTTTTGCCAAAAAAAATTTTACTTTGTACGGCAGTCAAATGAAAGCCTGTATGATCAGAAACCTGAAGAGCCAAAACCTGCTTTACCAACAATGACGACTACTACTTCAGCTGCAAAAAGTGGCCCATCCTCACATTCACGTTTTCAATACATGGAAAATGAGCCATCAACAGAATCAAAAACTGGAGGAGGCAACAAGACTGGCCATGTAGCAGCACCAAAAACCTCAGACTTCTTTCATGAGTATGGAATGGATAATGGCTTCCAAAGGAAAACAAGCACAGCTGCCTCAAAGACTCAGGTAAAAGCTGGGTTGATGCTAGTATTACGATAGTAAGAGTAATCAATCAAAGCACACAGTGATGCACTAGATTTCCATGATTCTTATAGCTTCCCTTGTTTTGAGTTGTATGCATACATATGTTTCTTATGTGCTTTTAGTAAGACACTTTTTCCCTCTGAATTACTTTGTTGGCTAGTCTGTTGTTTCTTGGAAGTTATGGAATCTCTTGTTTGGTTCAGGGTACTCTGGTGTGCAAACATTTGGTAGCATGTCCTTTTTTTCACAAATGGTCTTTGTATTATTTCACCAAATGATCTCTGTATTCGTTCCACACTTGCTTGACAATATTCACGCGCTTGCTGCTTTTACATATCTGGTCCAACATCTAAGTTCAAACTTTTTTATTTATTCTGGCTGCTTCTTTAACACGCAACAAGCAGCGTCTTTTGTTTCTAATCAAAGCTGCTGCTCGATAATTTAGACTTTTCCCTGTTGCAACTGCATATGGATAAAGCAAGATATGTCAAAAGCAAAAACAGAGGCTACAGTTTTCCTGTGACTTTTATATTTTGACACTTCATGTTCTTAACATTAGCAATCGTTAATGTAAGTAGGTTTCCTTTAGGATCTAGTTCTACTATTACCCATTCTGATCCTGAGTGGTACAATACCTTGCAGATAGAGGAAACTGATGAAGCAAGGAAGAAATTTTCGAACGCGAAAGCAATTTCATCATCACAGTATTTTGGTAACACAGACAGAGAGCAAAAGGAGGCTCAGTTATCTCTTCAAAAGTTTTCGGTATGTACTTGATCTCACTTTAAGCTACTCGTGTTTTGAGTGTGCATGCTCCAGAATAATAATATGTCATACATGTTCTACTATATTCGTTTTGAAATATCCACCACCATTTGTTCTTATGTTTAATGTGTTTGCTTTACTACAGGGTTCATCATCCATTTCAAGCGCTGATCTGTTTGGCCGTGATACAAATGATTCTGATCTGGACGCAAGTGCTGCAGATCTCATCAACAGAATATCTTTCCAGGTAATCCTATTTTTTGCAATTCCACCATAGTTTTCCATTCCTTTCATATTTAGCTCCTGCTTTCCAATCTGGTGTACTTCTGAAAATCATATACTAGTGTATGCCCTAGTATTAAACCAAACCTGCACAAACTGACATACATCTCTAATTTGATCTGAATCTTTCTGTAGGCTTCCCAGGATTTATCATCTCTGAAGAACATGGCCGGAGAAACCGGAAAAAAGCTGACATCTTTTGCCTCAAATTTCATCACCGACCTCGACAGAATTCTGTGAGGTGTTGATCAGCGGAAATTGTGGGCATTTCTCTGCACGCAGAAGTACTGCTGCGAATCGCAGGGCAACTCTGAGTGACTCAAGCATTTCTTGCACAGCTATGTAGAGAATATTAGGGGGTTGTTACTACTATCATGAATGTCTTATCATTCACATTGATCGCAATCTTGTTACAATGGGAATATTGTTATTATTCATTTCATGACAATAGACAAAACATATGATTTTGTACTTATTCCAGCTTGATGTGCCGTGATAAAGATTTTATTGTGGTGCTACTGTTTTCTAAACAGATCGAGCTCTATTTTTTCTTTTCCTCGCTGTGCTGTGCTAGTCAAGTTCTCTATAATCATTATCAGTAGCTCATCAATAGCAAATCAATGCTAGCAAATTCATCATTAAATATATTTCTACAACATATATACTCCCTCTATATTAAAATATAAGATGTTTTTTATACTCCCTTAGTATAAGAAAATGTACTATTATATTTTGATAGAGAGAGATTATTTGTTAATCTAAATGTTAACATTGTATTTGTAAACTTAAAACGGTGGAATACATACTTCTGGCAAAATAAAATACAAAAGGATAGATGAATTTGTACCATCTATAAGAAAAGCAGAGTATGAGGAAGCTGACTTGGATTTTGCGGCCAAGCTTTGTCAAAGCATCGCCATGAGTGCTATGAACAAATTCATGCATGATTGTAATAGTGTCAAACAAATGCTATTAAATTCATCATTGTAAACTTAATTTCATTTGGAACATATGTAATATGCGAAGTAACTTAAAACCGTGGACTTCTGGCAACATAAAATAGAAATTTGCATAGATGGATTCCTTACTATCTGTCAAAAAAAAAGTAGAGTATGCGAAAGCTGACTCAGATTTTGTGGCTGAGTGCATGATTCCCTAGAAAAATGAGTCCTCATGCATGATGACATGGACTCTAAGCAAGCTGGCAATATAATTTAGGTTTGTGAACATTTTTATTCCTTGCGTTTTCTCTTCACTTTTTTACGATACTTTTTGTGTCTCAATGTTGGATGATAGTTTTTTGGTCTCAATGTTGGAGGCAACTTGTGTGATTGGCACGTGGTCGATAGCAATAGATTGTACGCTGATCATTGAGCAAAAATCTTGCACAAACAAAATTCTCTCGTGTCTTGTTAGTTTAAGCAAGTGACGGATGCATCTGGTTGACACATATGTGTGTAAGTATAATTGTTTGCACGCTACGGTGGTGTCCGATCTGATGCTTGGTTATGGAACTTCTCGCGGGATTATATTCCATAATATGGTCCTGCTTCACCATTGCCACAACGTGGTCGCCTTCACAATTAAGGTCGTTAAATCGGAACAATGCATTCAGTTCAAATGGACTCACCGTTATCTCATACTAGTGGTTGAGGCGTCACCCTATGACATTGCTCGAGAGAAAGCTGTGTGCATGTTTTCATTAAAAAAAATACATGAAGTCCTCGCCTCCATCTAAACAAATAGCCTAGAAAAAAAATTCTCACCTCCATCTTAAAAAGAAAGTAAAAAAGAAAAGCAAACACCACCGCCGCTTATCAATAAGCGTCACTTTGCATAGCCCTCCATTTAAAAAGAATACGTGAGTCCTCACCTCCATCTAAAAAGAAAAAAAGTATTTAAAACAATTGCTCACCTCTATCTATTTTTTCCAAAATGCTTTTCCATTCGGCCAACCAGTTTGCGCCACATGGCATATTTGGTTGGCCGCCCTTCTGGCGACGCTTAATGGATTTAATTGTCCTTGGTCCTCATAGATGTCTCCATTTGGCCGCCCTTCTGGCGACGCTTAATGGATTTAATTGTCCTTGGTCTTCATAGATGTCTCCATCTATCACGTAAAAAGTCGCATATTTCCTAAACAATATGTGTTACCTGTGTAGGTCTTGAGATCATGTTGCAGGGGCCCTTAAATCGGACAACACACATAGAGTTCACCACCGAATAACAACTTATTAGACATATCATAAGACTATAAACACGAATGACGACGACATATAGAACATGCACAAATGAATCTTACCATTCACCTACATCTCCCGCACCTAGTGGGTACTCATACATCGGAAGAAAATCATCTCAGAAAATAAATCCATGAAAACCATATCGATAATACCGTGAAGATCCACAATAAGATAAATGATTAAACAAGTACCAATCTCCATATGAGTATGAATAGAGTTTACACACTGATCTTACAACTTGGAATTCTCTTACAATGGTGAAAGTGGAATGATAACGAGTATGAAGGTGGAAGAACAAAACTAAAAGGATATCTGGTAGTTCTTCCTCTCCAGATCTCTTCTCTCTCTATTCTGGATGGAGTGGCGGCGACTAGGTTTCTGTAATGTATATTGTTTCTTCACGAAAGTGTTTTCTGTAGATGAGAGGGTGCCCCTGGCACTTCATACGACCGGCAATACAAGAGCATGTGCTCGTATAGAAGGATACCTTGCATTCTGGTGTGCCTGTTGACCAAATTCCCAGTATGGAAGTTGCTCCATTTTGCTTGATTTGCAATAATTCACTTTGGTTTCCTTTCAAATATGCTTTCTCCTGCCAAACAATGGGAAAATAGGTTTTCTTCTCTCTTGAACGAGAAAAAAATTTGAACGATTAAATTACTGCTCCCGAATATTCAACTGACCGATTAATTTCTTATAACGTATTCTATTTTTCTTTGCCAAATAAGCCAGCAAACGTCGACGAAGTTTGCTTTACCCAACTCCCCTTTTTGATAACAAGGTAAAAACCTCCGACCCGACATTCATGAGTTTCGAATGAAGAATGAAGAGTGCCCTGCCCCTCTTTTTTTCCCCTAAATCTTGGATTTGGAAGTTGGTAAATACCCACCCCTTGTTTAAGTCAGAATGAGTCCCCGGCTATGACCAATGCCCCACCTAGCTGAATAGGCGTAACAAAGCTAGCTGAAAAAGGCAAGGTGCACCTTAGATTGAAATCGACAAATTCGAATTTTGCCAATTCGGCAATTTGATCTATGATTTCACATTCATGGACGAACCCAAATGGAAACCAAGCCTTTCGTGGTTCAAAAACGCGGAATCTCGTCTCAATCATCATTTGTCAGGACTTTTCGGGGTAAGTTCTTTGGCTTGGACAGGACATTTAGTTCATGTTGCTATTCCCGCATCCAGAGGGAGTACGTTCGATGGAATAATTTCTTAGATGTATTACCCTATCCCCAGGGATTGGGACCCTTTTTGAAGCATTAGCTCTCCCTGAAAAGGAGGTGATCCAGCCGCACCTTCCAGTACGGCTACCTTGTTATGACTTCACTCCAGTCGCAAGCCTAGCCTTAGGCATCCCTCTCCTTACGGTTAAGGGTAATGACTTCAAACATGGCCAGCTCCTATAGTGTGACGGGCTCGAAAAGACGATAGAGGCCATCTTGAAATGCCAAGGTAAGCCCACAGACTCCCTAGCGTCTCTACTCGACCTAAAATGCGATCTCGAGGACCCCGGACGGATTAGCAATCCCTAGTCTTCCATAACGCGTATTGGACTTATGTTTCCTCCTCCTCGAAGATGATGGATCTATGGTTACGACCATTCTTTATGACTTTGTACCAATAGTACAGATTTGATTTAGGCTCCTACGTCTTATTATTTGTTTGGTAACCGACTTTTCACTAGCAGGTCAGTAGGCCTTTTAGAAGGCGAACAAACGAAAGTTCTTCACGAGCGCTAGCGCTACCTTGTTCGCTTTTGTCAATTGAAGTCGCACGTAGCTAACACCTAATTAATACTTAATTTAATATAAGTAGTTAAACAGTTAACTAGACTAAACTTTTTCTCATAGTACTTTGAGAAATTAAGCGGGCGAGTGGCGGGAATCGAACCTGTATCTTCTCCTTGGCAAGGAGATATTTTACCATTGAACTACGCTCGCTACGGAGGAACCTAGAATTAGAGTCTTATGGGCAAGGACACTATTGCTGATTTACTAACCTCTATAAGAAATGCGTGAAAAACACATGTTCTGACTTCTTTTCTGAGAAAATGGGGTGGATCATCTTCAAAAGCAACTTTGCAAGCAAAAGTCGCCTTCCACCTAAGCTGCGCAGGAAAGGCCCAAAGCCAATCCCAGGGAACAGTAAAGCTTCATAGGGTCTTTCTGTCCAGGTGCAGGTAGTCCGCATTTTCACAGACATGTCTATTTCACCGAGCCTCTTAACTTCATAAAGTATTTGGAAAGAAAAGAAAGAGATCCTTGGTTTTACTATTAATAGATATAATTGCCCAAAAAATCAGTGGTTTTACTATAGCTAAGCCAATGGGTTGACTTTGTTTTTGAACTGGTTATTCCAAATAACAAAGCCGACATCGCAACAATAAAGAATGTCGATGACAAAACAAGACAAATCATTGTAAACATCGTCGTTTTGATATTTACAGATGTGCCACAAGATGATGATGATTCACGCCAATGTTTTCGAGTTAATACCCCACGGTTAATCCTTTGCTAAGCGTCCTCTTTAACCTCGCAAGAAAGATAATTTACTGCTCTGGCTAGTGGATCTTTATTCGCAAAAACAGCACACTACCCCACGCTTCTTTAACGCAAATAATTGTATTTTTTCCTACTAATATTTGAGTATTTTGCAATAAATATGTTATTATTAAAAATATTTACCGCCTGATAACACAACAAATAAATAGGACATAAGGTGAAGTACAATCATATTCAACGTCATCACACAAGCCATGTAGGTTATCAATAAACAGAGATTATTTGATACACACGCTAACAAATATTGGGACTCTGGTAAGTGTATCAGTCGATCAATCTGGCACAGCACACATCGGTGTTGCTGTCTCAAAATTTGCGGCTGAGCTTTTGTGAAAGCATCACCATCTGTGCAATGAACATGGCCATGCATGATCAAAACAGAATCCGTGCAAGACTGGTTTTAGTATAGCTTTGGTTTATAAGCATCCTTTTCTTGCTTTTGCCCTTCACTTTTATAATATCTTTCATTTATGTCATTGCAGGAGGCAACTTGTGTGATGGCTAATTGGTTCTGGGCCGCTTCGGGATGGAAAGGTCAACCGGTGGACAACAACAAATTTTATATTCTATATCTATATTTATACTTACTATTAAAAAAGCAAACAAGATTTCTTCTAAAGCCACATCATAAAATGTACACAGGATAACCAGAACCCTCGGATCAAATCAATTTAAATACATCTAACTGTCTGTATTACACCAACGATCTGATATTCAGATCAACGGCATAGATCAAATGTTCTGCCTAGGGCAGACGCGTGGTCTGCCAATCTCCTAGCGCGCTCCGCGTCCCTGATCCCCGCAGCCCACGCACGTCGTGCCATCCTACTCCTACCCTCGCAATCTAGCTCAGCCACCATGATCCCCTCGGCCAAACAACGCCGCCGCACCTCTCCCCGCCTCCCAGCTCTAGGTCCGTTTCCATGCCGCCCATCGCAGCTGCACCTCCCTCCGCCGCCAAGCACTAGCTCCGGTGGCCGCGCCGCCCATTGCGTCGCACCTCTGCCTAGATCCGCTTCCCACGCGCCAGCACCCGCACGCCTAGGCCCTGAACCGCCGCCGCTCCGCGCGCTTCAGCCCTGATTCAGCGCCGCCTCGCCATTGGGGCGCCTGCTGCGTGGCTGCCACTTGCCACGCCTCACCCTTCGGGTTCAAGGGCTCCTCGGCAAGCGTGGCCGGTGGCAGTCCAACGACGGCGGCAAGGAGCGAGGAGGGGTGCAAATCAGCGACAACGAAGTCCCACATTGGGGCATACGGGCACCAGAATCGACCCGCCTTGTGCGTTTGATGAAGACGAGAAGGGATGGGGGCTACCTGCGACTTGAGGCGGCGGCAGGACGACAACGCGGTGATCTGCATATCTACAAGGGAAGGTTAGCCCATGCTCTCCGTCCTCTCTGAATTTTTGTCAGGCAAACAGGGATACAGGCTTTTGCTGATGCGGCAGACATCGCCCACGGCAGCAATAGGGCGGGGAGGTAGAGGCAGCGGGGTGCCAGAATCACCGAGGGAATGCACAGCTAGAGGTCAGGGATGCATCCTCCCGAGTGGACGAAATTTCTCATGCATGTTTAAAATATTCCGACGATGATTGGCGTATCAGCACGTAAGAAGATCTGTCTTTTTTGGATGATGTTTGAGCAAAGTAAGGATGGAGGGGAAGGGTGGCCGACAGCATACAATTAGGTTTTTGCTATAGCTTTTTCGTGGCACAGGCAACACTGCTTTTCACGAGCAAGGTGGCAAATTCAGGTAGCCAACAACACCCCCCGATGCAGGCAAGTATGAATGGATGTAGATGCAACACTTCTCAGGGATTTAGCATTTTTATACTCACGTAGTAGATGTTCATGGTGATGCAAAACACTTTCAGGGATGTAGGCAAATTTTCAAACAGGAACATATGCAGGTATGCAACAGTGTAAGAGTTTTAGGGGGGGTCTGGCAATACTGTACATGTACATCTTTTTGTAAGGTAGATAACCAAGAGAGGAGTAATTTTTGTAGGTACCATGATGTACGCAACACTTTGAGAGATAAGTAGGGAAACACGGTAGGATGCAGGCAAATTACAGATACATATAAGCAGGATATAGGCACACATTTTTTTTCCAGATGGGTCAGGCAATATTCCTATACATTAGTCAATACTGCAATGCGGTCACAGTTGGGGACATCCATTACCGACTAACGACGGTGGGGATTAGTCGGCCGGCCACGGAGTGCTCTTTTTTGTCATGGCACATCTTCACAAACGAGTCATGCCTACAGCAACAAGGCAACAATATTCAAGATTTCTTGTTTACTTCATTTCCAAGCATCACTCTTAAAGGCAATATACGCCAACGGATCATCATAACTGGGGAGGAGTGTCCTGTCGGTTTTATAAATTCAGTACCATTCTACTACTCGCAGTTTCTGTAGTTCAGTCAAATAATACAATTTCTTCCTGGTTTCCATATTGTGGATGTAAATTATATTGCATTCTCACAAAAACCTTTTCTTCCTGCTCTCTAATCATACTACCACGCCAATGATGGATTGTTCTTTGGTGGTCATCTGACCCTGGTTTGTGCTACGATTTCCTGTACAGTTTAGCTATGAATCGGCATGGTTAACTCTTTGTTTTGCTATAGAATTGGTATAATAAACAAATCTATTGGGTCCTGCTCTAGGGATTGTTCTTTGGTTCTAAGCTTGACTCTTTAGAAGTGTTACTTGACTCTCTATACTTAGAGCTTGATAAGAACGAAAACAAATTAATAGGCTTAATTTTAGTTGTTGTGCATTTCATAGGGTGTCGAATGTACTTGATAGTGTCGTAGCTTCTGTTGACATTCACATATGATAGATGTTGTAGATGTATTTCTCCAGCATGTGTAAGTAGATAGCCCACACCATGTGGGTCTGGGAGATTGGCCCCTTCCATTGTTGGATGAATCTCATTTGGCTCCTCCCTGACTCACTCATTCATGCAGGTAATTTGCTCTGATTTTTCTGATGTTGTTGCTTTGCTAATAACGCGGTGAACATTTGGAAAGGTTGATAGCATAAATTCAACGCTTCCCTTGCAAGAGAACATATTGTGGTGCCATATTTTCCATTTTTCTTGCACAACTTGTTATGTCAAGCAATAGCGAATACTTTTATTGATTAGCCTTTCTGCTCTATGTACTGTGATACCTGCTATGTGTGAATTTGCTCTGAGATTCATGTTTACAAAATATATATTCTACCTATGACAGTAGTTTTAGCATCCATGGTGTTGTACAGTAGTTTTATCTGTATCACATATCCATGAAAATACTTAACCTGAGTAGCAGGGGAGCAGGTGACAGCAGCCAGACATTTGATCCCACTTCGCTAATCACAGCCAATAAGTTGTAACCAAGGTGCTCGGATAAATATGTTCCTTTCTACAGAATGTAGGAGTTGCAGGTTTTTAAACTTACAAAGGACATTTTTTCAGTCTTAAACCAGTTGTGTTTTGAAGCATTTTGTTTCTTTCATTTACATGATTCAATAAAAAAAAAACACATGCCAAAATTGTTACAAGCATTGTTGTAGATAATAGAAAAGTTTGGCCTAATCATCTAACATGCTTGGATGCTCCTTATCTTCAGTCAAAGGTCTACACTTGATCAAGCTTTAATGTTGAAGTAATGTTCTATTATTGTAACTGTATACATATTCTTTGACTATTACAGAGAAAATCGCAATAACATTCTTGGGTAAGCTGGAAGTGAGGTCCTTATCTGGAATTGTTCAGTATCTACTATTTCATCATATTTATAAAGAAAAGGTTAACATTTCTGGCGTTGCTACTTAAGGCAAGTCCAAGTGGGGTGCACATGAAATTTTTAAATATTGTTGAGATCACTGAAGATAGCTCATGGCATGGCAAGTTTTATCTTGAAATCAGCATCCGTGGCTTGAATATTAATCAACGGCATCCCTAGGCTCGACAACAATCAGAATAGAGCAATCAGTGGTTGCAGGCTTCTAAAAAAATGTAACTTGAATGAGGATGTGCCCGTTGGATTCATTTGTATATCCTGCTTTTTAGCATCCATGTGATTTGGTTTTCTTTTAAGCTAAACATTATTGTTGGTAGTAAGACATGTAAATATAACTGTTATTTCCAAAATTATATGATGGTAGTCAGAGACGTGCGTTGCACGTGCAAATTTACTAGTAATCATTTGAAAAGAAGAATCTTGCACAAACCAAATTCTCCTCTTGTTTATGTCTGGTTAGTTTAAGCAAGTGACAGATGCACCTAATTGACACTGATGTGCAAGTATCATATGCTACACACTAATAAAGGTTGTGCTCATTCTAATCCTTAGATACTGTGGAAATTGAAAGCCCAGCTATACAAAAGCTATGTGTTTGTCGGTCCAGCTTAAAAAGGCATTCATGGATGTGTAAGTGTGGTGTAGATGTTACACTCACGCAACGCCTAGAACTAAATTTGTTTGTCGCTCAATCATTGTAATAGCGAACGTTCATAGATCACACGCTTACGCAACGCATATAGCCCAATGAAAACACCAAGGAAGTAGAAAGACGGATGAAAGTAGCAACAATTACTTCGTGTATCCATGTAGGAGTATCAATCTTGCACGGCACGCATCTTCCAGCAATGAGATAAGCGCAGAAGCGAAGTGACAAACGGCACGAGACCCAACCTGGAGGCTGGAACAGACGAACAACTGTCCTCGTCGGCGCCGATGCGGCCGGCTAGGAGATCCAGTATGAAGCAGAGGACGACGGTACGGCCCTCGTCGGCGGCGATAGAGCGAGGACCAAATCTTGCACTAGGACTGGGAGGAGACGAAGACGTGGATCTGGTCGAGGAAGGTGAGGTGCTGCGGCCGGTCCACGCGGCGGACGTACCCGGCGGCCACCGCCGGCGAGTACTCGGCGTGGCCCCTCCGCCCGCTCCGCGCCCACATCTCCGCCGCGTACCCGCGGTGCGCGTAGTACGCCACCACCTCTTCCGCTGCGCCTTCCCCCCCATCGACAACGACGGAGACGGGGAGGCGCTCGTAGTGGGCCCGCGAGACGCCCTCCAGCTCGTCCAGCCGGGCGAGGCCGTGCGGCGTGACGGAGTAGAGCTCCCCGCGGACGCGCTGGCAGCCGTGCTCGCCGGGCAGGTTGAGGAGGAAGGGGACGCGGTAGGGCCCGCAGACGAGCGGGAGGGGTTCGGCCGTCGCGGCGGCGGCCACGAAGGCCGCGTCCCCCGCGCGCGCCAGGTCCTGCAGCAGGCAGTGGTTGGAGAAGCCCCGCTTCAGCGTGCCGTACGTGAACACCAGCGTCCTCTTCGCCTCCCCCTCCGGCGCCGGAGACGGCTGATGCTGAGGGTGCTCGTCGGCGGCGCCCATGGGGATGGATGGGTGGGTGCGATGTACGGACGGGCGGAGCTGATTGGCAGGGGAGGGTGGGATTTGGTCTTGGTTTGGTAGGTTGGTGCGGTGGCGGTGGGTGCTGAATTTATTGGGGACGCGGGGTTGGCTGGTGGTCGACGTGGCGTGGGCCCACCTCGCCGGCCATCGGCGACCATAGCTTTCGTCTCGGTCACCTCGTGACATCCAGCCACGGCCCGTCTGTCTAATTCAAACTTTTTTGAAATTTCTAATTCAGTCTTTTCAAATTGGTATTTCAAATTCAGCTGTCTCGTTCTTCGTGGTTAGCTCAGCTGGCCTGGCGAAGAAAATGTGCATGCACATGCTTATGCATGTTCGACCGATGAGATATGCATGGCAACATGGGATGATAAATCAAAACAAGTCCGGCCGATGTGGAGTGAGGCTTGTTTCCACACACAAGCCTCACTCCACATCGGTATGGCCGGCCGGCCAGATGGCAACAAGAAAACGTGGAGACATCTAGAAGCACCATACCACCGCACGTGACAGAGATTTTCTCTTCTGCCTCTTGTTAAAGATTCTCCCTCTCAAGCACGGCGTGTACGGCCGCTAGCTTGCACCAACCTCCCTCTTGACCACGCCGCACATCGGAATCGACAAAACCGGCGAGCTCAAAAGAAAAGAAAAGGAAAATATATGTGCAGCTGTAGAGCTAGATCGTACTGTAGATGAGAACTACTTGCACTCCAAGGGAAGCCTCTCTCAGCCCTTGGATGGCCATTCCGGCTTCTCTCTTCACCATCTCACAGCCACCCACTTCTCATCGGCGTTACCCTGCCCCGCTCCTCACCGTGATTTTCAGGCATGGGACCCAAGTTGTCTCTCGTCTGACCATGCATCGGCTATGCTTATGCTTTCATTTGGTCCATTTTGATACACTTTGTGTATGAATTTCTCCCAATAGGTGCCGAATTATTTTATGATATTTAAAACATAGACCTATCATGAAACAAACATTAGAACCTAGCGACCGAACTTAGGCTATGCAAAAAGAGAAGGAAAAAAAAGGCATGTCGTGCAAACAAGCGCCAAAGCATCCAAGCCGGCCTCTCCAACCCCGGGGAAGACACGCTACCGAAGGTTCGCCCTCGTATTTTCCCGAGCAAAGCACAACCGTCATCGCCTTGTATGGATCAGTTTTTTTTTGAAAGTCTTGTATAGATCAGGTTGATGATGCTACTACTTGTCTTTTTGTGCATGCAATTTATGCTTATCTGAATTGGTTGTTCATTTAAAACGTACACCGTACGTTCCATTGTTTGAGTGCACGCGAGTGGGATCGATTCCTACCAGGCCTGTTCTTGGGAGAAAAATTATGCAACCTATCTTGGTACAAGTTGAGGTAATATTTGGTTCATAGCTAGATAATACAACTCTTTTCTCACTATATATAGTCGTACCAAATAAAGAAAGTGAGGCGACGAAATTGACCACCACAAGCGTCAATATGGTAAATTTTTGCGCTCACATTGCATAGGACATGTTGTCAAGAAAGTGTGGCATAGTACATAGCTATGACCGGTAGAACAAACAATACTATCCAGAATTCCAAAAAAAAAACAATACTATCCATGAGCATCAGCCAGACTTACGGTTATGACAAAGTTTGTCAATCAACGAAGAATATCCTAAAGGTATCCCTATGCCTAGTTGGTCCAATCCATCCTATGCTTGAGGTTCACGGCCAGGGTGAAAAATAACATTTTTTAGAACTATCCTCCAAGCTTTATTACTCAGAAAACCATTTCTTTTTAGAAATAGTGTTCAAATTATGCGGCTGTAGTAGCCAAACATATCTACCCTGCGCTAAAGATAATGTGACAGCCTCATACCCCTTCGCTCGTACCCAAGGGCACCCATCGTTAGGGTGTCTTGTACCCCCCGGCCGGCGTCGTTGCTGGTCTACTGCATCTCCTATGGTCTTAGAGCCATGGAGGTGTCGTGGATCTCGGTCATTGCCGACGGGAGGGCTCCATTTCTATGTGCTTTTGTGAGTTTTTTTACGGTTTGTGTCTTGCTTAGAGAGACGAGGCGGTGACGGCTCTCTGAAGATGGAATAAGATTCTCCCTGCCTGGCCCCCGTCCCAGTTGTGCTTCTAGCATCATCGGAGGGCGTGTGGAGGTTTGTATTCAGCGGATCTCATGGCATTCGGTCGGTGTTTGTCTTTGATAGATCCATGTGGACCAGGTCTTCATTCGTCTTTGTTCATGTTTCTACAGGTTGGACCCTTCCGATCTACGTCTCTCTTCTTCGGCGGTAGTTGTTGTTCGGATGCGCTGGTTCTATGGGGCCTTAGCACGACGACGTCCTGACCGTCTACTAGAAAAAGTTTTGCCCAGCTCCGATGAGGGAGGGGCAATGATGGTGGCGCGCCTGGCTCACTTTAGTCCTAATATTCATCACTAGGTGGTCTACGGATCTGAATATTTTTTTTACTTCTGGTGTTCTTTCTACTACCTTGGTTCACTCTAGTCCTTATAGACCGGAAGTTTTCATCGCAAAAAAGAAAAGATATTGTAAACTTGGCAAGATTGAGAGCTTCATAATTCGAGCTCCGACCTTCATGGAAAAATTTACAAAGATCAAAGTTAGCTGCTGGAGCTCCTGTCTCCGTAATAATCATCAAACGAGAACCTCCTGGATTTCTTCAATCTGCGTAACTACCTGCTTGCAATCAGACGCAACATGTATCGATCTCTCAAGGACGTGTCCATTGTATGGTTGGTCCTCCAAACCATTTTAGGCTATACAAAGATTTACCTCACCTTGGAAGGCTCCTGAGCTGTGCGAGATGAAAGGGACGAGGTAGTGAGTGTTTGGTGTCGTGCCTCCTCTTTTGCCTCACCCGCTGGAGAGTGTTTCTCGACCACACACTCCAAGCCTCCAGGGTATCTCATAAACTTCGAGTAACATGTGTTACGAGAGTTCACGTATACTAGTGAACACATATTAACAACATACTAGTAACTACACCAATAGTCGTGAAGTCTTTCACTAAAAAATATAGGCCATTACGGCAAAGAGTCAAGTCAAGATAACAAAAAATGAAGTCCTACAAAAATGAATCTACACCACGAAGCAATAGAGTGCACCACATGAACATAGGATATTCTAATCGAAGTATAGTTAGAGACTCTCTGATTAAAGTCTAAACCATTTTAGCCATATCCATAAGATTTATGTTCCTAGTGGATTAATCTTCATGTATAATTTCATACATGTAGTTAAGATGATTTGTACTTTTCAAACAACTAGGAATACAGTTGACACCCTGCAACATTGTGGCGAGCATACTACATAGTCAAACTGTGTGTGCGTTTTTGTGCCAACATAGAGTATATACACATTTCAGTTGATTATTGCATACACGGGAATAGACACAACTAGTCACCACAAATCCAACAAAACAACATTCCAATGATTAAATAAAAAGATCCTCAAAGACACCTTATATACTCTAGGATTTTCTATCTTCTTATATCTAATCCTACACTACAAAAACCTATCAAGATATTAAGATGACGGCATTAAAATATATAGGAGTGCCACACATATAGGAGGAGGTGGGGGATGCTTCCTCCATCGTGCTGGAAGATAGGAGGGAGGCGCACCTCGACGAAGCCGGCCACATGATGTACATAGTCGTTCTCGAGCCACCTGTAGGAGGCCAAGGCATGGAGCCGATGCTCGGCGGAGCTTGATGAAGATTGTTGAGGGGGCAAAAAAGATAAGTTATGCATGAACCCTGAGATACCTTTAAGCCTAATAATTAGGGGCACACTTAAGATTTTTCTAGGGTAGGGGAGGGGGGGCAATGCCCCCCTTTGGCCCCCATGGAGCCCTGCCACTGTCATAGAGCATGGCATCAGTCCTTCCTGCCGTCGATTACGACGACCCTCGGCGAGCCACAACTCCGGCGGTTGTATCGAACCCTCGTCTACGACTTCTTTGCACGGTTATCAGAGGAAGAGGTGGAGCGGGTCTCTGCCAAGCCGGGATTGGCCCGGGTGCTCCGGAACGTCATCCGTGTTTGAGAATGGCTAGAGGCGATTACCCATTTCTAGCCATCTCGTACCAACACACGCGCGAGCGCGCGCACACACACAACTCACACTTGCCCTCCATCCACC